TTTTAATGTCCATGTCTGCACTATGTTTGACACGTTATCTTGACTTTGGTTCATAAGCCATTGCTTTCCTTCTTCATACTCTTCCTACAAATCTGGTTCATTGTACTCCTCTGGGATATTTCTGACACAATTACATGTTATGAAGTGCATCTTCACCAAGAAAATGATTTTACAGTTATGTGGTCTTCCAGGCTTGTTGATGATGGGCAATCTGAAAATACATTTGTTCATTCTTGTGAACAGGGTATCGTAAGAATGCTATGAGATAATTCCTTCAGATTAGGCACAAATGCCCACTTTAACTCAAAGATGAATTTAGATTACATTTTGGTATTCAAAGTTCAACATTGCTATGTCATCATAAAATATGGTTTTGTCCTTCATAAAAAAAATCCACTAATTGTGACAACTTTAAAAACAGATGCATATTAGCATGATATGTTTCCTTCAAAGACTTCATACATTAAAAGTGAATGGACATGGATGGTTCACTGAGGGATACAACTGTGTGGCAGTAATTCAATTTTTTCCCCCTCTGGCTTTCAGAGAATGCAACCACACCAGAGGACAGTGAGACAATTGGGCCAGATGTGAGACATACAGTCAACAATGCAGCACCACAGCAAGATACTGTGACGACTCCACAGGCCAGAGATCATCAGAAGCCTGTGAAACGGTTAAAAGGTAAACTTCTGTCAAATTTAGATTTCAAGATTGGCTGATTTCAAGGTCAAAAATGTAAGGTAATGAGAGCTACTTGTTTGTGTTGTGTGTTGGTGCACAGGACGACAACCTAGCAAGAGAAAGATGTGGGAGAAAGAGGAGATTGCCGCTGTCGAAAGGCACATGATGTCCTTCATCACAACATGCCGTGTTCCAGGAAAAAGTGACTGTGATAAGTGCCTTAGCGCAGAGAAGACCGCTCTTAGGGACAGAAATTGGCTAGCCATTAAATTTTACATCAAGAATCGCATCACAGCTCTGAAGAGGACAATGTAAAGTTCAAAACTAGTAGACAAATGTTATTTGTCAATTTGTTGTTTTTGTTTATATAGAATCAAGCTCACAAAAAGTTGGCTGTTCAGTTATTTGACAGGTTCAAATATCTCACTTGATTTTGTATCAGTCAGTAAAATTGTGACATTGGTTTACCAACATAACTTTTATGTTGTTACATTTACTAACATGTTGATTAGTAATCAGCAATCTCTGTGAGAGGTTGAAGAATCTGAGCAGGTTTTTTTGTTTGTTGGGGTTTTTTTTGCAATAAAACCTCTCAGTGACGTGACCTATATCTTGTGGTAATGCAGACCTTATTTGTAATCCAGTTAACACTAGGTTTGTATGATAATGGGGCTGTCAAACAGTTAAATAAATTAGTCTGTGATGGCAGACTCTACAAAGTAAGTTAAACCTGAGGGTGTGCTAAGTGGTCCAAACAAAGACAGAAAAACCATAGGTGTGTATATTGTGACCCCATTAATTACTATAAACCTGACAAGT